GTCGTATTTGTCTAAATCTATTTATGGATGGTGTAATAAAAACTATAGATATTCAAATGGATCATATCAAGTGAATAAGATAGGTTCACCTATTCTGATGAATACAAATGATGTAATTACACTATTCCTCGATTGTAACAATCGGAAAATTATAATGATAAACGAAAACAATTATTTAAGATATGAATTGGATGTGGATATTAATAATTGTCCATTTCCTTGGCAGCTTCATGTTATTCTTCGTGAACGAAATAGTCGTATTCGTATTTTAGTAATAGAAACAAAATCTATTTAATATTAACGTTGCAAAATCGACACTTGTTCATTTATGTATAACAATAAACATTTTGTCACTGTGATTACTCGTAAAGGGTGGTCACAAACTTTTGATCCGTCTTTTATAAATCAAGTATATTTATATAAAACTCATATGAATGTATTCATCAAATTATGTCATTTCGTAGAGAAAGAGAAGTGCTATCATTCGCAAAAATAGACAGTTTGAAATACATTCGTTTAGGGATGTACCGAGACTCTCGGTTTAGGTATACATTTTATCTTCTTCTTATATCCGCACCCACACCCTCAAGATGCGAGAAGAAAAACGTGGGTATTTCTTTCATTATCTTTATTTCTCTAAATGTCATAATATAATAAATTATGTTGATATTTCATAAAGTCATCGATCAAAGCAACAGCTATATGAAATATATATGAGATTTGTTGAATAATATTAACTTTGTAGGTGTTAATATTAAAAATTTTCTTTTTCTTTGATTAGACTATATAAATACTAAGTATTTTATTCATCTTATATTCTACAAGAAAAAAATATTCTATATGAAATCTTTATTCTATTTCATCTTTATTCATTCGATTATAGCTTCTCCACAAATAAATCTTCATTTTACGATCAATGAAGTAAGTGAAAATGAATATAATGATGAATCAGGAAACAAATACAATTGTTTTCGACTTGCTTCAAATATGGAATACGCAAGTTCTACTCGACATATCTCAACTTATTGTCTAAGTGAATCATCATTGAAGTTTCATATTGAAATTGATTATTCATCACCAATATTTTCTTTTGTTGATCTTGCAAAGAAGAATATAACAAGTGATGATTTATATGTTTGGTCAACACCCATTGATATTATTGAACAATATCAAATATATTTGGAAACAAATGATGTATCATTATCGAAACAAATATTCTATAATTGTACATTACCAAGATTTGGTCCGATGTGTCAATATGAATTATATTATTATCATGATAATTATTCTTCGTTATATGAAATGATTCATGGTTACTATCGAAGTTACGTGTATAACCCAACGGATTTGACTTGTTATACACATTTAAAATGTCATCGTGGTTATTCACCCGCATGTTTAGATTGGACAGAGATTTGTGATGGTAAAGTTGATTGTCTTGATGGAGAATATGATGAAGAACACTGTTGGCAACTTGAATTCAACGAATGTCAACCAAATGAATATCAATGTACTATTGGAGTATGTATACCTAAGGAATTTACTCAAGATAATTTAAACGATTTTTATTGTATCGATCAATCGGATAAAAATGCACAAAATCTCAATAATCGTTTTACTATTGTTAACTATGAACCTACATTTGGATATGAAGATATAAGATGTGAAACTACATTTTTGACAAGTTCCTGTGTACGAATGCGACATTATTTACTATCAAAATCAATGTTTTCAGTCAAAGATATTTCTGTATCAGACAAATGTTGGTTAGCGTTGAAATGTTATTTCGGTTTACTACATACAGATTATGTGGAGATTACAGACGATATTATCGATAAAGATTGTATAACTACGATAAAAGATACTTGTCCATATATGTTATATACTCCAAATATTCCATCTTTCTATGGACATATTTATACAGCATTTAAGAAGAATGCTCCTATTTTACCCTTTCTATGTTCGAACAAATCATTTAATTATGGATCTCTTAATCTAGTTTTAGATATGTCAATGAATAATACTATATGTTATAAAATTTCTAACGCTGCAGATATAACAATATTTTATACAGCTGATTGGATATCTCGATATCAAACGCCAATGAATGATATATTTCAACAAATAAAAGAAAACAAACCCATAATTAATTTTCCTCTGAATCGTTGTAATGAATCCAACATATATCAGTGCAAAAATTCATCCAAATGTATTTCATACAATCGTTTAATGAATAAGATATCTGATTGTCCTTATTCTGATGATGAAAATATATTTGACGATACAAATAATCAATTATTTACACAAATAAAACATAAATATTACGAGTGTTATTTTACCAACAAATCTATTCCTCAATCAGCAATTTTAAATAATAATTGTGATTGTGGACGACTTGAAGATTTATTTTGTGAAGATGAACATGAATTCGAAAACTTTACGAAGAGAATGATTTCATTTCAAACGATTTGCGATGGATTTCAAGAACTTTATCCAATCATGATTGACGGAAAGAATGAAACAGATGAAACTCAATGTGAACAATGGGAATGCAATAATATGTATACTCATTGCAATGGAATATGGAATTGCTTCTATGGAGAAGATGAAATGGATTGTGATTCATCACCCGCATTGTTTAATTGTTCTACAAATGAAAGAATATGCATAACGCAGGACACATCTGAATTTTCTTGTTTACCGATTAATAAAATCAATGATGGTACAATTGATTGTCTTGGTGGTACTGATGAACAAAAGTTATGCCCACCTACACCTACAAATGAACAAAGAAGATTTTATTGTATGACTAGCCATTCTGCACGATGTGCCAAATATCTTCAATTATGTAATGGCCAAGAAGATTGTTTATATGGAGATGATGAACAATTTTGTCAAAAAAATCGATCTATGTCAATGTATACTGGTATTTGTCAAAATGAATATATATCATTAGCTACTGATGTTGAAAAATTTATATGTAGTATTTCAACGAGTGTATCAAAAGCTCCAATCAAATATTTTACTGTTAATGGATTTCATGAATCATCTGAAAGTAAAGTCATTTATGAGAATGAACAAATGAATGTAATAATTTTAAATAATTCTCGTTGTCATCGTGGTCTTGATTTACGTGTTTGGTTAAATAAATTATCCAATCGGTTCACAAGTACATGTCTTTGTCCACCAACTTATTATGGAAATCAATGTCAATTTCAAAATCAACGTCTTAGTTTAGCTATTGCATTTCGTGCTCCAGCTCAATTACGACAAATTCCTTTTATTATCTTAATTTTACTTATTGATAATACAAATCAACGAATCATTCATTCATATGAACAATTTACTTATTTATCTATCCGCGATTGTAACATTAAATTCAATGTATATCTACTTTATTCAACTCGACCTAAACGAATGAATAGAACATATTCAATCCATATTGATATTTATGAAAAAATTTCTCTTATATATTGGGGAAGTTTTTTGTATCCAGTAAAATTCTTATTCTTACCTGTTCATCGATTAGGATTTATTTTAGATATTCCATTTACAAATGATCATCAAATTTGTTCAAATATAAAATGTCTTCATGGAAGATGTTTGAATTATCTAAATACAAAAGAAACATTTTGCCAATGTGAAAAAGGATGGTCTGGTCAATATTGTAATATTCCACATCATTGTACTTGTTCTCCATCCAACTCATTATGTGTTGGTATATTAAATAATAATCGATCTATATGTATTTGCCGCGAAAATTATTTTGGTTCAAAATGTTATGTTCGAAATCGAATATGCGATAATAATGTTCCATGTGAAAATAATGGTTTATGTATTTCACATGATGATTTTATGTTGTCATCATCTAAACAAAAGTATTATTGTATTTGTCCGAACGGTTTTAGTGGAAGTCGATGTCAAGTCAAGGATATGGAACTTAATCTAATATTTGATAAAGATATTCATTTATCACATTCAATTTTTATTCATTTTCTTAGAATCATTCCCATAAATGAATATATTCCTCGTATTCCAAAACCTTCACCTTCAAGATCAACAACTTTACAAACAATTTCTCAAGCAACTAATGCAATTCGAATTTATTGGTCACATCCATTTCATCTTACTTTTATTGAAACATTAGATAAAATCTATTATTTAACTGTTATTCAACCGATTCATAATTATTCAACAATAGTGAAACGAATTGATTCATCATTTCGTTGTCGATCAATCAATGAATTAGTTAATGAAACATTCTCTCGACTTCATGTTCTTCGTCGAATGAAATCTTATCATTTAATTTGTCAACAAAATTCTCCTACTTTACAATGTTTTCATGATGATATTCATCTTTGTCTATGTTATGATCATCAACATAAACGTTTAGCCAACTGTTTTCAATTTAATCATCACATGAAATTTGATTGTTTTGGTCAAAATCATTGTGAAAATGATGGACAATGTTTTCAAGACTCACCCGATTGTCCAAAACGAACAATTTGCGCATGTCGCTTATGTTATTATGGAAGTCGATGTCAATTTACAACAAGTGAATTTGGTTTATCACTCGATGCTATTTTAGCATATCATATTATTCCAAATGTAAATATTTTTCATCAAACATCAATTGTTAAATTAAGTTTCTCTTTCACCATTCTATTTATGATTGTTGGATTAATCAATGGTATTCTATCATTCGTTACATTTAGAAGCAAAACTGTACTTGAAGTTGGATGTGGTATCTATTTGTTATGTTCATCTATGACCACAATATTAATAACGATTCTATTTGGAATGAAATATTTTATTTATCTTTCGACACAAATATCAACACCATCTAGTCAATCTTTTCTAAAATTTCAATGTTATTCATTTGATTTTCTTCTTCGAATTTGTCTCAATATGGATCAATGGTTAAATGCATGTGTTTCAATGGAAAGAGCATTTACAGTTATTCAAGATGTTCAATTTGTGAAGAAGAAAAGTAAACAATTAGCGAAAAAAGTGATTATCATTCTTTTCATATTAATTACTTTAACATCAATTCATGATCCAATTCATCGACGTTTATTTGAAGAAGAAGACAATGAGAATGAAAATGGAAAAAGAATCTGGTGTATTGTAAATTATTCTTCAAAATTACGAACATACAATCGAATAGTGAATACATTTCTATTTTTTATTCCATTTTTGATTAATTTAATTTCATCAATTATTATAATAACTAAAACATCTCGTCGACAATCTCGTCTTAGAAAATATCGATCTTACAAAGTTATGTTGTACGAACAAATTCGTAATCATCAACATTTATTTGTTGCACCTGTCGTTTTATTTGCTCTTGGATTACCACGTTTAATTCTTTCATATGCATCTAAATGTATGAATTCAAGCAAAGATTCCTGGATATTTCTTAGTGGATATTTCATCTCATTCATTCCACCAATGATTATCTTTTTTATTTTTGTGTTACCATCTAAATATTATAGAAACGAATACAAAAAAATACTTATAAAGCGGTCGAATATCATCTATCCTTTTCGTCGTCGATGACATTTTATTCATCTCTCTTTTTTTGTATATACATATATTTGCTTTGCTTTGCTTTGCTTAATAAAATGATTGAATAACAACTTGATGATGTGAATTTTAGTTATGTGTGAGCATGGGTGGGGTGTGGGTGTGTGAATAAAAAGAATAACCACACCCACAGCCATCCATCATTACTGAGAAATACTAATCACGGACAATCACTATTTACTACTGCTAATCATATCTAATCAAATAATCAGCTGTTTTCCCCTTGCAGTAGACCTACTGGAAGTCAGATTGTCTGATTGCTTTTTACAGTTTTGCTTAGCTATATCCACCATCGTCTCGAGATCGTCAAGCCAATGCGTGAGAGGTTGAACAGCCTCTTCGGTGTTGAGGGTGTGGGTGTGAGTATAGCTATCAAATTTACACCCACACCCTTTCATGTCTGCATTAATATGAAAGGCTTTCTCCATTGGAATCAATTGGCCAACAACAAATATAAGCTATACATTATAATGAGTTTTTGTGTATGAAAAATAATTCTTATACATTGAAATTTCACTAAACCCTGATGAATTCATGTTAGATAATCAAATTAATGTCATTTATTCTTCATTCTTAACTTGTTTTCGAGAAAAATATTCACGTTTTCAATTATAATATTTACATTGAAAAGTTAATTAAAAAGAAACAACCCTATCTGAATGATTCATTACTTGTTCTATCTCATTATCGAATTGACGAGATTGATAATTAGACAAAAGCATATTTGATTGACGACACGTGTTCATATTCAACAATATGTGGAAATCTTAATACACAACAAGTAACATGCAATGGATGTGAACAAATGAATGATTTAAAAAAGAATTATAAAGATTTGACAAATATATGGAAAGATAAATACATTGAAAAAATTCAAAATAATGCTGCTTTAGTTAAAGTTGATCTAGAAAAATTAATTCAACAATCGAAGGATAATTTTAACACATCGATCAATAAAATTGGTGAACAAATTGAAAAAAGTGAAGAAATAAAAAATTTCTCTGAAATTCAAATTAAACAATGGAAACAACAATTAAATAATCTTCAATTCGAATATCAAGAACATTTTCATATTCAACTTGAAAATTCTGAACAAATTTCATTAATTAAAATTACACAAAAAAGAAAACAACATCTCGATGAACATGAACAAATCGAATTAAATAATGATCGATTTGATCAAATTCTTGGAAATGGTGAATATTTTGAAAATAATCTTCTAGTTGAAAGTCCAAATGAAATGCGTTCAATTATTTCGGGAAAGAATTTATATTTCAATGGAAAACATTCGTTACAATTTCAAATTGAAGATGTTTTTATGACAGGTTATCATTATTGAAATTTCTAAATAAAAATTAATTTTTTTTTTTCATATCGTATAGGTTGGACACGTTTTTTTGGTTTAATGACATTAAAAGAAATAATCAAACTTTATGTTGATCAAATAGATTCTGTTCATGGTGTTTGGTCAAGTGGATATCTTGTTCAAAATGGAAAAAGATCTGGTCATTGTGGAGAAAGAAGATGGATACAGGGTGATTCGATTACAATGATAATCGATTGTCAACTTCAATCAATTCATTTGGAAAATAAACGTAATTATTGGTCTCAAGATATTCCAATTAATACTCAATTATGTCCTCTACCATGCAAATTCATGACAATTATTAAAGGATGTCGACTTCGTTTGATTAATAATTCATCATAGAATAATTTATGTACTATGATATGATACTCTCATTTAATTGCTCTTTTGAAATAAATTCATCAATAAATAAATCTTGAGGATGTGGGTGTGGGTATAGCTATCGTATTTACACTCACACCCACACCCTAGTTCTTTTTTTTCATAGATGTCATAATACCATTACCCCGGGTATCGACAGTCAGACGGCAGGATATCCTAACATGTGGTCAACGAAAGTAAATTAACATTCACTCCACATATTATACCAAGGAGTAATGACTTCATTACCCCACTAAAAAATACATTCATTATACAAGTTGAGGAATATGAGTGGATTTGGGGTAACGAGGTGGTTACACCAAATCAACTCATATTCCTCAGCTTTTCACATATACTTCATTTGGGGTAACGAGGTGGTTAATCCAAATCAACGCATATTCCTCAGCTTTT